TAAAAAAGCAAACCAACCCACGTAGTCATTTCGTCGTGATAGCACACCAAATGACTTCGCTTGATGAGTCAGTGATCTTATACACCTACCGTGCTTTGACTGGTTGATTGTTTTGGGAGTCGTGCAGCAATTCTTTCCATTCATTACATCATAAGTCCCTTGTTGCTCTTCCTTCGCCACTGAAGGAAATTCTAAGCTACACCAAAGTCGCTCGGTACAGTGGCGTAATGCACGATTCTTTCCCTCATCCACAGAAATCGACGAGATTTTTACGCAGGTTGCATGAGGAAGCTAAAATGATGGAAAGAATTTTGAAAGACTGGACAAATTCCCGCTTTATTCGACGGTTCCAAGACCCTATGCGTCGTGCTAACCAAAGTAGTAGTAAAGTCATTAAACCAGATGCTAAGGCACGTAAACCTATCTGTGACCCCAATCTCCCTGGAATTTAACGTAGAGTGACCGTTATTACCAGTTGTTCTTAGTTCCTTCTCCTGATAATTTCTTATATATCTGGGGGCTGATCATCTATTTCACCAAAGTGTTGGGCTTGTGGCATCTGGAAGCCATTTAAGCTGCTATAATTTTGCGTTTTTGCATTCTAGGACCAGCCATACTACCGGAGTGACACGCACCGTAGTCGGTTGGAATGAGTGATCACATCAAATGTATAGCCACCTGGACGACAAGTAAGCAAACTTTGAGATTGTTAATCACTTCACAGCATTTCCGATTAAGATGCCATTTATAAGTATTGGCATTTTTTCCTCGAACCGCTGCGGTCGGTTTTGGACTTTTTGAATTTGTTTCGAGAAATGATGCTATGGACGCCGGGGAGGGCAATTGGACTGATGACGGCCGATAAGCCAGAAATGATCATCCCAGTCTCCTTTGTCTTTGTAAGTACTCTTGTATATATTATTTGTTACTACGCAACTGTCTACAAAGGCTGTACAACGAACCCCAAGATACAAGAGACTCAAAACATCGACAACCTGATCGATGAACGTCCCCTCCTATACTGTATATGCATATATATTAGAGACTGTTTGGCAACAAGCACACGGACGCCTGAATTGCCACTTCTGGCATTTTTACATTTATCAGACGAAACGGGCACATTCACTTGATTGTAGCGAAGGCTCAGAGCCCTTTTGGACACAAAATCCGAACAATATCTCTGATCGATATCGACAAATAGCCCCAACCTCCCTTTGAAGTGGCAACCTCGACTGACCTGGCGAAACGAGAGAAAGTTAGCAGGCTTACCTTGTCTTTGCTAACTGCATGAACAATCTGTAACAATGTGTCACCACTACGGAACCCTTTCACTTAGGTTATGCGTCTTGCGTGTAAGGTGGTCCCCGACTCATCTCGTCTTGTTACCCAACAAGGCTTTCGCTTTTTCCCTGGACTTCAAGTCAGTGTCCTCACAGGCAGACTCATTCCAAGGACGCGAAATATCAATAAGAAGAGGCCAGTTATGCATACTACATATAATCAACTATCACAGTGGGGCACACCTCAATCCCATAAAACGTATGCTAGACATGAAACACGGTGTTAGGTTGATATGTAGGCCAAAATATGAAAAAAAGGGGAAAGGTTCATTGGAAAAGTCGAATTGCACTCGTAAATTCTGGAGCTGCTCACACCAACCCGTCGTCAGACGAAACGAAAACTTGGAATTCGGATTGCCATATTCGACCATTCGGCACGGAAGAACAGACAGACTTTTGGCGTTTGAGGCGATGGCCACAAAGTCCTGGTAGGTGTCTGATCAACCCAGGAGGGGAGGATGGAGGCGGAAAAATTACGGGTCACTGTGCTGGAGGAGGAGCGGGAAGTGTGGGGGTAGATGGTGGATCAGTTGGCCTCTCGAAAAAGAGAAATCGAGTTGTACTCGTGAATTTTCGAACTGGTGACACCCACCCGTCGTCAGACGAAATCAAAACAAGGGAGAAAGTTAGTTTGTCACACTAGATTAGTTAGTGCGACAGGACGGACAGACTGTTGGCCTATGATAGGGCTGGTCACAGAGACATGGTAGGTCTCTGAGCAAGAGGGGAGGGGGGAGGCGGAACAATTACGGATCCCTGTACTGGAACGGGGGGGGTGGATGGTAGATCAATTGGACTCCAGGTGGCTGAATAAGCGGCGGTTGATGTGGCATTAGGGCAGGGGGCAGTGAGTCGTGAGCGTAGGCCCTCGTAATGGTCAGCCATGACAACATAGCGTTTGATGCTACCTGCATTGGAGTACCAGGCCCCGAGAAATTATCTGGCTCGTTTTCTGTTGGTTGTGGCTACGCTCTCAGTGTCATCCCGACTGAATCGCTGATCACGCCCGAGTGCGTGCACACGGACGAGGGACAGGATGTCAAGGCGACGGACAGCCAGTTTGTGTTAATTTATAGGGGTGCCCAGGAATCGACCTGTATGACCAACATACACGCAAGATCGATTTGCGCACGGAGTGCGATAAAGTACGTTTATTTGTTGCTCTTTGGGGAGGGAATCCTTGATTCGAGATAGTGCTGTGCGTAGTCAGGATGCTAATTTTTAGGCATTTTGAATACCAAAGCGACTTAACTGTCGGGCGATTATTTCAGAGGTTCCCCGTATATATGGCAGGGAGTAGGATTTTCATGCCAATATACCTCCGTTTGGGTTGGGGTCTTACGGTTTTGCCTGGTGCCTGAGGCAGTTCTTTACAAAACTAATCGGATATCTCTTAAATTTAAATAGCCGATACAGGCAAGAAATTCCTTTGTTGAGGAGATCGTTGGTGTTACGATAACGGCAGGCCCGGTGGAACAGAATTCGGAAGCAGCTTCTTTTGTGAGCCGCAGGGTGTTTACCTCCATAATTTAGGATAATCCATCAGAAAGGGAAGGTTAAATTGCCACATTAGACGAGTTGACGCAACAGGACAGACAGATCGTTGTCGTGTGAGGCGATGGTCACGAAATCATGGTAGGTCTCTGAGCAACGCGGGAGGGGCGGGAAGGCGGAACAATTGCGGCTCCCAGTGTTAGATGAGGATGAGGTAGATGGTGGATTAGTTGGACTCCGCGTGGCTGTATTAACGGTGGTCGTACTTGAGTGCGTACGTGAAGACATGCGCGCAGTTATACGGCAAAAAAGACGTCAGCAAATTCTACCAGCTGAAGAAGCACAAGGATTAGGATCACTGAAATCGGCTAGATCGCAGTTGGTAGCCATGACCCGTACTACAGGTGGTGGGGGGCTTGTTTACTGGGGCTTTGCTGTGGGACTACATAATCATATCTGACCCATTTGGCTTCCGTTTTACGTTTGAGGTTAGTATTATGGTACCAGTTAATGATTTCCGAATTTTGGGTTAGGATTATGCCTTTAGGCTTAGGTTTTCGGGTTACGGTTAGGGTTTGAGCGTACGATTAGGTTTCAGTATTACGTTTAGGTTTTTCAGTGACGGCTATGTCTAAGGGCTACGGTTACGTTTACGATTTCGGTTATGGTTAGGGTAAGGGCCGCCGTTAGAGTTACCGGGTGACATTTAAGTTTGAGATTAGGGTTAGGGTTAAGGTTAGAAGTAGGGTTAAGGTCGCCATCCGCTTCCCCATTCCTGGCTACCACCTGCCATCTAACGCTGAAATCGAACCACAATATTGTTGTTTTTCCCGCTAGCAAGGGTGACAATACAGTCACCACAGCCAAACTTGGCAACGTTAGTAAGGCGAATAAAATCTCCAGTGACATAGGGGCCCCCAAACTTCTTGCCGAAGACCCGATGAAAAAGCGAGCCCCAGCCATCAAGAAAAAGATTAATGAGCTTGCTCGTCTCAAAGTTATAAGTCCAGATGACTCCGAGTTGATAGGCCTCAGTTATCCACGTATCGCACACGCGTATTGTCGCCCAGAATTTCACAAAGTTGATGTCCTACGGAAGATTATGGTATCGCTCGTCGGGTTACTTAATTTCAGTATAGTAAATTGGTTATGCAGGCATCTGAAGCAGCTCACTCGTGGATGTGGCAACAGCATTAATAACTTTCACGTATTCCTCCACAGGATTCAAGGCCTCAAAGTAAGTACTGATGAAAGCATTCTGTCTTTTGACGTTGGTGTCTTGTTTTCTTCCATGCCAAATGATTAGGCAACTGAGCGCATAGCCCAACGCTTCCAGGACAATCCTGTTGAGATCTCGAAGCGGCAACTAGCAGAAAAGGTGGTTCGGTAGGATGTGGTTATGCAACTGCACCTGATGGACACAATACTGTGGGAGTTGGATTTAGAGTTTGGTGTTAGGGGTTAGGGCAACTATTTCTCAACCACTCAAATCACAACTGCGCATTCCCAATGGCTTTTCTTTTGCATATAATTACCTGACGTCGTCACCTGTGCCTTCGCCGGCCTCACATGTAAAAACCCTACAACCAACAGTCCCATATTACAGGTGGCTGGGGCTTTTCTTACCTTAGGTGCGGCTACATAACCATATCTAACCGGTTGTTCAAACACCCAAGCTCAAAATGTGGTTTTACCGTGTAGGTAGCAGCTTTGTCGTAATAAGGAACTGCAAGGCCGAACGGCTGCACCAGAGACGGAGCGATTATTTCCCGGTCATACTCGAGAAGAGGCAACGCACCGTTTCTGAACGTGAGGATAAAAAATCTGAGCGATGGTAGCCTCTCAACAACCGTCCGTAGAAAATGATTACCACGTAGATGCCGGACAGGCCTTCTGCGTGATTTATAAGATTCCGTCAAGCTATCCAAAATCACCTGGACAGCCTCTGTTGGCAACAGCAGAGGCGGCTGTAATCAGGCTATACAAACCATTCTTGTGTGCACAGAAGAATTTCGTGCAGGCAACACAGTTTCTGTTATGGTCCGAAAGGAAGGTAGGAAAGGAAGAGAGCCGGTTCGGACGACGAGCACTTTATTGGCAACTTGCGGACACAAGGGGGTTTCACTAATAAGAAAGGTGCGCTATTTATAGTGGCTCCTGTGAGTTCTAGAACATTCCGACCAATGGCGTATGCGCGATAGCCCCCCGGTGGTAACGTCTTGAATGTTCGACCAGCGATCGATTGGGCCGCGCACGTGCAAAGCCACCACACGTGCTCGGCGCTGCAGTGCATGCCGGTCGACCGTCTAACTTCACGCGTGTCTCATGCCGCCGGCTTGGTCCCCTGTTCAGCGCCTTAGGCCGTGGCCCTACGCTGCTTGTACTCTCCATAACACCTCCCGCTTTTGAAAGGTGGACCTCGTACCTCTTCTTCTTCGGGTCCATGACCAGTTTCCTTGGCGGTTTCGTTCTTCTGCTACTTCTACGAACGACGGGTGTTGTTGTCTGACTGTCTACCCTGGGGGTTGGAACCTCAAAGGTATCGCACAGCAGGTCGAGTGCCATTTGACTGTCTCTGGTGTGTCTGGCCCTGAGCTGATTAGCATGCCTCTTTATTTTCCCGGCTGCTGTCTCTACCTCAAACACAACACCTCTGGATTTTCTTATTATACCCTCTATCCAGGGCTTCTCTCCAGTTTTGTAGTTTCGGGCAAACACTTCCTCTCCCTCGCGAAAGTAATGTTTTGTTGTTTGTGGAACTCGAGCTGCCGGTTGTAGGTACTGTAGTCGCGTATCCGGCTGTCGTCCCAAAAACGGTTCGGCTGGTGTCTGACCCCCAAGATCACTTTTTGGAGTTGTTCGATAGGCAAAAAGGAATGTGTTGAGATACTCCAGTTTGACGCCAGTGCTCCACATCTTCTTCATTGCCCTCTTGAACGTGTCGACGAAAAGTTCTGCCTGGTCATTCGATTGTGGATGGAATGGTGGTGACGTCACATGTCGAATTCCCCATTTCTGACACAGTTGTTGGAAAATTGATGACGTAAACTGAGTGCCGTTATCCGTCACAATCTCCGTGGGGATGCCGTATCTAGCTATTAGTTCTTCCGTCTTCCTTGCCGTGATATCAGCGGTAGCTGCCGAGGCGTCGAAAACTTCTAACCACTTGGACCATGCATCGACAACTATTAGAAACATTCGGTTGAAAAACGGACCCGCGAAGTCCATATGGACTCTACTCCAAGGTCTCGTTACCTCTGGCCATGGCACGGGCGGTACTCTCGGTGGGTTCTTAGCCTCACGTCCACACGGACCGCAGCTTCGAACGAAAGATTCCACGTCTTTATCAATTCCCGGCCAATATACGTACTTGCGGGCCAGTTGTTTCATGCGGGTCATGCCCTGATGTCCGGCATGGAGCTCCCGCAAAACTTGTTGCTGATATCTGGCTGGGATCACCACTTTACCATCGCACATTATGCAGTCGTCTGTGATATACAACTGTTCCTTTCTGTTCCTGAAAGGCTTTATTGATGGATGTACCTTGTCGTCGCTGGGCCAACCGTTCCGAATAAACCGTTTCACCTGGCGCAAAAAGGGGTCTGCTGCAGTTGCGGCCCTGATGTGTTCGGCTGTTAGCGGCAACTGCCGGATGACACCTCTTAACTCATCATCATCTTGTATTAGTGTGCTGGCGACAACCACGTCTTCTTGATTTTCGTTGCCTGCACTCAGTCGTGATAAGGCATCTGGAGCTCCAAACTTCTGGGTGGGCACATATTGGATCTTAAAGTCATAGTTTTGAAGAATAGTACTCCAGCGTTGTATTCTCCTAGCTACGTTCTGGGGAACACCACGGTTAGTACCCAAAAGGAACTTCAGTGGTTGATGATCAGTGTGCAGTGTGAAGGGTCTGCCATAAATGAACAGATGAAATCTCTGTACGGCGAAGATAATAGCCAGTGCCTCCTTTTCGATTTGGCTATAATTCCGTTCTGCCTTCGTCAGTGATCTGGCGGAATGCATGATTGGTTGGACTCTCCCATCTGCGTCCTTCTGAAGGAGCACTCCACCTAACCCGTAATCAGAGGCGTCTGCCTGGACAATGGTCTCTTTGTCAGCCTCGAAGTGCGATAGCATAGTCGAGTCGCATATCTTTGTCTTTATGGCATCAAATGCCTTTTGACATTCTGGAGACCAAACAAAGTCCACGTCCTTGCACAGAAGTCGGCTGAGTGGAGGTTTTAAATTGTGTAACCCAGTGATGAAGGGGCCGTAGTAGCTGACCAACCCCAAAAACGATTGCAGCTCCTTCGTGTTCTTCGGCACTTTCATTTTCTGGAATGCCTTCACTCTCTCTGGGTCAGGGGCACGCCCATTCTCGTTGACTATGAATCCGAGATAGTGGATCTCCTTCCGCAAAAATTCACTTTTCTCCATATTGATCTTAAGACCGTAGTCGATCAGATTATCCACGACCTGGTCCAGCCTTTGAGTCAGCTCTTCCTCTGAGCTACCGACAACCAAAATGTCGTCCAGGTATGCAATAGTCCCGGGAACATTTGTCAGCATCGTATCCATGATCTGCTGGAACACACTAGGTGCCGTTTTCACGCCGTAGTTTAAACGAGTGTATATGAAGAGACCTTTATGCGTATTAATGGTCAAAAGTTCCTGCGATTTCTCGTCCACCTCAATTTGCAAGTAAGCTTCGGATAGATCGATTCTTGCAAAGACTTTCCCTCCATCTAGAGTAACACGTGCTCGGCGCTGCAGTGCATGCCGGTCGACCGTCTAACTTCACGCGTGTCTCATGCCGCCGGCTTGGTCCCCTGTTCAGCGCCTTAGGCCGTGGCCCTACGCTGCTTGTACTCTCCATAACAGTTTCCATGGTCCAAAAGCCATCATTCCCCTCCCCCTGGCAATGACAATGAGAAATGACAAACTGGGAGGTTACTCCGGACGCGAATTGCCGAGCAGACCGCAGAAGTGAGGCGGGAGACGCTAGCTCTCAGGTGGCGGCTCATTCGACGGGACTCGGCCATATTTTCAAGTTTCAAGAGGCCGGAATCCTCGCAAGGGATGACCACTGCGTGAACCACGAGATGCTCGAGTCATGGTTCTAAGGCCCGTGCTGAGATTTTCCCTAGGTAGGGGAAGCAGTCACGTGGGGATGGCGCGGGCGAGCGATTATCCCAGTGACAGTGAGTCAATTTTCGAGCCATCGTCACACCAGCAGCCAACTCGAATGACGAAATCACGGCCGTTAACGACCCAGTCGCAGACTGACAAGCAACCATCGCCTCAATTACGACCACAGCGGTGATCGCGAGAGCTGTTACTCACAGTGCGCATATGGTCCCACGACAGCCACGTGTTATAAATACTGCACTCCTTGTGCCATCATTACTCTTATCTGCGACTGTCTCTAATGATCGGTTCGAGTGAGAATCGGAAGCGTCAGTCCAATAAATTTCTTGTTCCCGTGATCGCATCTTCGTCTTCTGAATGGCGAGAATTTCGTTTTTCGCTTAACCTCCCCCCCACCAAAAAAAACCTCTCTAGGGAATAACATCTGCTTGTCTGAATTTTCTTATTAATCATCACGATAGCAATATAGATGCACAGGGCTGAAGAGGATTTGTCGAAAGCTAACGTATGTTCGCCAAATTCTGTTTTGAGGGATTATCCTAAATTATGGAGGCAACCACCCCGCGGCTCACAAAAGAAGCTGCGTCGAACTCTGTTCCACCGGGCCTGCCGTTATTGTAACAGCAACGATCTCCTCAAGAAAGAGCTTGCTTGCCTGCATCGGCTATTTAGATTTAACAGATATCAGATAAGTTTTGTAAATAACTGCCTCAGGCACCGGACAAAACCGTAAGACCCAACCCCAAACGAAGATATATTGGCATGAAAACCCTACTCCCTGCCATATATACGGGGAACCTCTGACAAAATCGCCCAGCAGTTAAGTCGCGTTGGTATTTACAATGCCTACCAACTAGCCTCCCTACTACGCACAGCACGATCTCGAATCAAGGACCCCTCCCCAAAGAGCAACAAACAAGCGTAATTTATCGCTCTCCGTGCGCAAATCGCTCTTGCGTGTATGTTGGTCATACAGGTCGAAGCTTGGTCACCTGTATTAACGAACACAACCAGCTGTCTGTCGGCGAGACTCCCTGTCCCTCGTCTCTGCTCATGCACTCGTGCGTGATCACCGATCCAAGTGGGATGGTACTGAGGTCGTTGCCATGGTGAACGCAAAACGGGCGAGAAAATTTCTCGAGGGTTGGTACTCTAATGCTGGAAGTATCAACCGCCATGTTTGCCCGGACGTCCATTACGAGGGCCTTCGCTCACGACTTACTGCCCCCTGCCCTAATGCCACATCCACTGCGAGCTGATGTTCGTGGATACGTGTAGAGGCAGATTTTCCCGTTTGGTCACAATATGCGACATCACAGGCATCGTATAGGATCTTGAGGACGACTTGTTTCTTGCCAAGATGGCCAGCCTTATCCTTGGGGTGCACAAGCTGACTGCGTAAAAATGGCGCAAGCACCAAGCGAATATCGATTTTTTTCAGCAAATTTGGGAACGTTGAATCTTTTTACATATCCACTTAATTTTAGCGACCACCTGGATAACCAGCGTCGAAGATTTGCTCAATTAAGTTCCGCACTTCTCCCAAAGATTGTCCTGACCCTGAAATCATATTTCTCGGGATGCCTACCTTCCAATATTTATATATGCATCTTACGTAGAAATGGGATATTTTGAATAAAATACAAGTTTATTGTGTACATTTTGGAAGTTAGTCTCCCCACTGGCCGTCAGCCTACACATATTTATCCATTGAAAGACGTTTGGACGTCTCACTGGAAGGAAATTAAATCCACGAGTCTTCAGAACAGGAGGAATCAACAGTTGTCAACATGTGTATTTTTCCTAAAATACTCAACATTGATATTTTGTTACGGCCGATATTCTCTCTAATCGGTGCACCCAACTAGTAGATTTTTAAGTGGGTATTTCACCAATTAAATCCGCCTACATAGAACTCAAATCACTTTGTTAAGGACTAAGAAGGGTTTACAAATAAACTGAATAGAGTCTTAGCTACCTATGACGAGATAAGGGTATCATTCAGTGCACACTTGTTGTTTACCTTGATTTCGTTGCATTGGAGAACTCCTTCAAGCCAGCACCTTCGAGGCGTTTGCAGACGCTTCATTCCAGCTCATTGATCTCTGTCGAGAAACAAGCTTTCTCTTCTTTAAATAATGTTATCGGCAAGTTAGGGGTACTCCTCTGGTTCACCCATATCCGTTTCCTTGGCAGAGACCGTAATGCAGAAATTTGTAGGCATGATTCTTCCCACAGTTAACCCAAAATTCTGGCTCCACTACATAAATTACGTTTTTATCATCGTCAGGAAAAATTAGTTAAATCTGCTCCATATTAATGTTAACTCTACATTTCCAGGAACCAAGTTTACTTCCGAAATGAAAGTTGATGGACAACTCCCATTTACGGCTGTCCTCCTAAGTTGGAAAACTGATAGATCACTTCATGCATCAGTTTATCGCAAAGAGGCATATTCAGAGAGCATTCCAAATTTTGAGAGTAACCACCCTTTCTTTCATAATCAGAGTTCAGTCAAGAGCCTTCTAAATCGAGCCACGAAGGACTGTTCTGGAAAGGAAAGTTATCGCGCAGAAATGAAATGTCTTTTTAAACTATTTCGCCCAAATTAATGTCCGCATGATTTATTACGTCAAAAAGTGAGGCACCAGCAATTCAAGGGGGGAACTATCTCCAAGGTTACGAAGGCAGTTATCTGGCGGACTCTCACATATGCGAAAGGCGTGTCCGAACTGGTCGAACACCGATTAAAAAAACATCAGGTACACGTAGCACATCAACCGGCGAATACCTTATGCACACAATTCGTACATCCCAAGGACAGGGTTAACTATCTCGGTAAAAAGCTGCTATTTACAAGATCCCATGTGTCACTTGTGTCGTCGTCTCCTGCGGTCAAACTGGGACATCGGTCTCGGCTCATATACACGAAAATCAGTTAGCGGTGAAGTGGCTATGCACACACTAAACACAAATTTGCGTGGGAGGACATTCGCACTGTTGGCGCCTGCCCAATAAGGAAAGGCCGCGTCAATTGTTTGGACTGTCCAGCCAAATACTGTGGCATGACCGACAAGCCATTAAGGTCGCACATGTATGAGCATTCTATAGCTGTAAAGCGAAAAGATGTATGATCGCATGTTGCCATGCATAGACCCGAAAATAACCATCCATTCGGCTTCGAAAGGGTAGAAGTAATCGGCCGAGCTGAAAGCAAAATGGCAAGAGAGATAATCGAGGCCTGGCAATCCAAAGCCAAATCAATCAACCGTAGGATCGGCCTACCGGCGCCATACGAGGCCACACCATTTGAGCATGAAAGGAGGGTCATTGAGAAGAGAGAACGATGGACCTATCAGTAGTGAGTAAAAAGACATATGTAAGCCATGTATTTCCACCTTCTGTTTATCTCCGATGATGCGCTCAAGTACGAGTGTGAAACGTCAGATGAATAAACCATCCTCCACAGAGATCTCTTTCCCTTCTCCTTCCGTATATATATATATCTATTAAAAATAAGTAAGATTCTTTGGGAAGGGAATAAACTTTAATGAGTAAATTTTTGAGTTTGGTTCCCCAGCTCGTCTTCAGACTTTTGGGCTATGTACAAAAGCAGTTAACTATTTAACCGTGTCGAATAAGTGATTCTATTGTTGACCGAAGCCTGCACCAATGCGCGTCAACGATTTTCGTCACCCCTTTGGCATTGGCTGCGCTCGCTTCCATTTGTCTTAAGAAATTTGTATTTGGCATCTAAATCAATATGCCGATTGATGCATTGCCTCCAGGAATTCGCGGCCTTTCCTTATTGGGCGGGCGCCAACTATGCGGGTGTTCTCCCATGCAAATTCGTGTCCAGTATGTGCATAGCAGATCGGATATGTATTCACTCAGGAATGGGTGCACACCGATCCATTGGCTTCCTGAAGCAAACAAGCTTCGTATGGGCGATAGAGGTCACGAACAGGCAGCCACCTACCAGGCCAAATTCGACGCTTATTCCCGAGTGAATAAATACCCGATCTGCAGCGACAGAGAATGGCAGATGGCGAGGCACTGATGAACTTCGGTTCGATGAGGTGCTTATGACCCATCTGGTAGACCCCAGTGGTGGACCAGCTGCGCCAGGTGTGTCTGTGCGCATGTTCGTGTTTCCGGTCCCAGCTGGTGGTGGTCAGGGTTATGATTGGCTGAATGAAGACAAACAAGCCTGAAACAATGCTGTATCAATCTACCCCCCAGACTCTGTCGTCTCCCCTCTGACATTTATATATGAAGACGTGCGATGACAGCTAACGTCTAAACGACGGCCCCCAAATAGGCGTAAACCTGTTGTAGCAAGATCGTCACCGCCTATACAGTAGATGTGCTAACTCATTAAATGTTAACCAACAATTTGAAATGCGTTCTCGTATCGAAAAGATAAATTAAGTAGTGTTGTAAAACTAATCATGATGCAGCATAAATCTATAATAATCCAGTTACTTCAGGGTGTCGGCTTTCGAAAGAACTTATTTTCGGCAGCATGCAAAATCTATACTCTGCAAAAGATGACTTTATACGTAGCATGAAATTTTCTCATTGATTTTCGGTGCCCTTGAAAATTCAATTATATTTTATGGAAAGCAAGCATAGAAATATTCATTCTTTTACTTATTCGGTAGAAAATCACACCCTCTTCCAATTTCATACTCAAAAGAAAAGTATAATTCGGTTTTAAAAAGTTTCTAATTGTGAGATTTTTTAATACCGTTAAATGGCCGTTCTAAAACTTCATGCATCTGTATTTACGAATGTGCCTTGTAAAGTTAACAATATTGCTCCAATCCACAGCTTAATTTTATGAACCTCATATGGTCTCCTCTTAAAACCGTAGAGAAATGCATGGTTTTCCGTACACGGAAAATATACGGCTTGTAGTTTTGAAACCCTGAATGCAAGTGTAACAGCAGGTCGGATTCAAAATTATTCGGGAATTATAAAAGTTTTTTAAAACCGAATTATACTCTTCTTTTGAGTTTGAAATTGGAAGAGGACGTGATTTTCTACCGAATAAGTAAAAGAATGAATATTTCTATGCATGCTTTCCATAAAATATAACTGAATTTTCAAGGGCACCGAAAATCAATGAGAAAATTGCATGCTACATTAGTAGTCATCTTTTGCAGAGTATAGATCTTGCATGCAGCCGAAAATAAGTTCTTTCGAAAGCCGACACCCTGAAGTAACTGGATCATTATAGATTTATGCTGCATCATGATTAGTTTTACAACACTACTTAATTTATCTTTTCGAAACGAGAACGCATTTCGAAATGTTGGTTGACATTTCATGAGTTAGCACATCTACTGTAAATACTGTGAGGCGCGGTACAACACTCAACTCCGACGATGAAACTTTGTTTGCTTTTGAAACGTCAGAGCAATATAACTATGGTTCCCGAGGTCGCCTCTTCTTCTGCCGGTAATGCCATTCTGCCTTTATATATATATATATATAATACATACGCAGCTCATATACATATATATGTATGGGAAGGAGAGGCGACCTCGGGAACCATAGTTTCGCCGTCCTGACGTTCCAAAACCACAAAAACTTCACATAATATTTATAGGGGTGACAACCATGCTATCGCGACGTGGACGCGAGGGAATTCGTTACTCGGCCTTGGCGCTCATCGCCCGCGCCCGCCCAGGGATCGTTTTTGTAGTCGCCGGGGCAGAGCTGAAAAGAGGGTGACTGCTGTCAGTATACATAAAAGTAGAGCGACGCTCATCGATCGCTTTACAGAAATCGCTGGTACCGTTTGTACCTTGGGCTGACATCCGAGTACCGCCAGCAGTCGCATAACGGCGCGTAATATAGACAGAATTACATTAACAGCAAAGACAAGGGAGACTGGAATGACCATTTATGGCCAATTAGCCGTCGTGATCCAGTTACTCCCCAGCCCGATGTGTGTGTCTCGACCATTCTAGGCTCCTATGTCTTTGTCAGTAACGTCATTCTGTATATATAGTCAAATGAATAATTTCAGAATTTATTCAATGCAGGACATGGAATTAAGTCTACGGAACATGACTTTTCAGGGTCAGACCATAAATTTCAATGAACATTCAAAGTGAAGACAATCAACTACGTGGAAATAACCACGTAGTGCTCATCCTTCAAACAAGTAGTAGTACGTGTAGTATGAAATCTATATGAAAATGTATCATACCGTACTCCCGATATACGCACTAACCAAAAGCCCTCGCATGGGTTTCGCCAATATTCTTCCGCTGCGGGACACAGATTCGAGGAGTTCGGCTCCCAGCATTCTCTACGAGGTTTCTGGCATATGAACTCCGGAGAAGAATCAAGCAAATAGTTTCAGAAATTATTTAGTGCAGGACATGGTGTCAAGTCTCCGGGACATTACTTTTTAGGGGCAGACCCTATATATACATATATATAACGGTAGGGGGCGCTCACCGATCGTTCATACGGGGTCTCTCTCGAGCCCAACCAACAGCCGCACAGCGGGGCATGATATAAAGGCAGAATGGAATTACCGACAAAGACAAGGGAGACTGGAATGGCCATTTCTGGCTTATTGGCCGTCGTCAGCCAGCCATACCCAAGCCCGAAGTGTGTGTGGGTATGGCTGCCTGACGTCGACTAATAAGCCAGAAATGGCCATTCCAGTCTCCCTTGTCTTTGTCGGTAATAAATTTCAACATATATATATATGAATGTAAACACGTTCTTTTGGAAAAAATAGAAAACTTTATTAAGTAAATTTTCGACTCTGGTTCCCCTATTCGTCTTCATACTTTAGCAAATGTGCACAAAACAATTAACATTTCAAATGTGCTGAAAAATCGATATTTATTTGGCGATTGCGTCAGGAAACAGCTCCCTCTTCTGTCAGTACTATAAGTCCATTTAAAGTGGCAATTCTTCTTTCGGACAACCATCTGGTGACAGAATGTCAGTCTAATTTCAGATCTTGACATACAATGCCACTTTTAAGAAGAAGCCTTGGTTTACTGCCTTCTTCTACATCCCTTTTATTTTAATCAATACATTTTATCGCTGTCGGTGCTATTCATCACAAGCCCATCCCCACATAACAGTCGGACTCAAAATCCACGCCGCTGCCAAAGCAGCCAGGATACTTAGACCCTTTCCAGTACCCCTTCCCCCCCCCCGGCCTTCATACAGTAATGCGAAAGCATCCCTCTGGCACAGACTAGGAGCTACGTCAGTTGCCCCAACGGCAACACACGCCAACTTGCGGATGCATCCCCGCTGCGGCCGTAGATGCCCGTCTGCCTGCGTGACTGCGTCCGCGCACACAGCGGCCGCCGCGGCAAAGACACCGTTAGCTTCGATCGGTTCCTGCCAACGGCTACGCGCGATCACCAGCACACACAGGGTAGACAGCACCCAACAGGCAGAGACAGCCCATTGGCTGTTTTCATCCCCTTCGAGGGGGTAGCAGGGGGCAGGAATAGGTGGCTGCCCCGAGGCTGCTACTTAAACGTCTGTGCGTCCTCCCCCGGCACACCCGTTCACTCGGCCTCCTACCGTTTGGACGTCTACTTTTCGTTTCCACTGCAATCCACAATGTCTGAAGAAGTGAGTTTCCTTGCCTTATTCACCTAGTTGTGCCAGTCGCTTCTAAAAAAATACTGTTTTCCCATGCCGTTCACAAGGAAGCCTGGGTTTAGGTGCATGTTTCCTCCCACTTTTTTCCAAGGGCAATTTTAGCTATGTGGATACCAGTTAAAGGCGAGGATTATCTTCCTCCGAAAGTCATGCACAGGCATGGTGTATATTTTAGGCAAGGTGGACTTTATGGAACCCTTGGTTCTGCATGTCCTTATAGAAGATCGAGCATTTTTCCCTAATTTACCGCTTCTAGAGATTCGACTGATAAGTCACATAACCCCCCTTGCGCCAGCCACTTGTTGAAATCAAAATCCCTATTGAGTGGGGACAATATCTCATAAAGTATTGACATATGGAAATCTTTTCTGATTAGGGCAACAAAGTAGATGTGCTAATTCATTAAATACTATCCGAAGTCCTGAGATGCTTTTTCGACTCGGAAAGGTCACCTAAGTAGGGTTGCAGTATTACGTACCTTGCAGCATATTCCCAATAAAATTTTCAGTAACTTCAGGACGCCGGCTTTTAAATCTGCATCTTTCCGGCAGCCTGTAAAAACCATATTTTGCCAAAAATGACTACTTATGTAGTATACATTTTTCTCATTGATTTTCGACGTTCTTAAAAATTCAATTATATTTCAAGTAAAGCATGTAAAAAATTACCCATTCGGTAGAAAACTACATTTTCTTCTAATTTTATACTCAGAGAAAAGGAATTATTTGGTCTTTAAAAAGTTTCTAGCCACGGGATTTTTTTATGACCGGGAAACGCCCGTTCATAGAGCATCATGTTTTTGTATTTATTAGTGTTGCTTGTAAAGTTTACAGTATGACTCAAAACCACTGCAAAAATATATGAATCCCGTGTGGTCTACCCTCAGTAACGTTTGGAAATGCATGGTTTTCCGTGCACGGAAAATATGCAGCTTATGGTTTGGAAACCCTGAATACGAGTGTAACGGCAGGTCGGGTCCAACAGTAGTCTAGAATTCGAAAAGTTTTTGAAGACCAAATAATTCCCTTCCTTCAATTATACAATTTAAAGAAGACGTAATTTTCCCCCAAAGGGGTAAATGGATGAACATTTTTATGCATGTTTTCTAGGTAATATATTTTAATTTATAAAGCCATCGAAAATCATTGAGAAAAATTTATACTAAATAAGTTGCCACTTTTGACAAAGTATGATTTCTGCAGCCGGAAAGAAGTAATTTCAAAAGGCGGCATCCTGAAGTAACTGAAATTTTATTGGTATTATGCTGTACGATGTTTAATATTACAACCTCACTTAAGTGGCCTTTTCGAGTCGAAAAGTCATTTCCCCATTTCGGTTGATACTTCATGAGTTAACACGTCTACCGTAGCTTTTTATGTTTTGCTTTCAATTCAAGATCCCAGTAAGACGTATAAAGTACAAATGCGTGTATGCATAAAAGCAGGACTCGACTTGCAATTCTGTCTGTTCCCGAGTACAGCAGCAATCAATCTACAGAAATGATACCAGTAACGGGATATCTAAGAATTAATTTTTATAATCAAAGAAGTTTCGCGTATAACACCATAAGGGGCAGTGTGTCTAAAAACCGTTAACAAATTTTTGTATTTGACAACATTTTGCCTTCTAGGCCGCCGCTGCACCGCCCCCAGAAGAGGTAAGCCCTTAGCCTCGTTATCGCAATTGCATGACACAGCGTCCCACGCTTCCGCCAGAGTGCACAGTTAAACAAATGCACACGTATTTATCACACTTCCTATTGGTCGATTCAGCAAGGCTTGGCTGACTGCCTCCCGCTCGCCGTCTTCTACTTATTTGATACGTCCTCTAATATTGACACAAGTATATTTATTCAGATGTGAGCAGTGTTCAGCTAACGTCCACCCCTGGATCGCAGTCGTTTTCTTTAAAGCCCTGCAATATAAAATTTTGCATTTATCAGTCCCAGACCGTGGTTATGACCCTCTCGGTGAAGCGATCACAGCGGAAGAAGGAAGCGGAGGTCAAGTCCGTTTATGACATTTGCGTACCTGGCTCAAAGTCGGGCGTTCCTCGTCTCTGTGCAGGTTCTTACACTGTAACGTAAAAAGCCCGTTTCACATACGCGTCCTTCACGTCCAGAGTTAGGTGACAGAAGTAGTCAACGTTTTGCTCGGTTTATTTTGTTTTTATTCAAAATTAAAATTAAAACGTGTGTGTGTGAAAATCAAGTAAGTAAGTGCCTGCCTGTCCCCGAAGATATATGGCCCAGGGCCAGTTGTCCAGCTTAACAAATGCACGCGTGTTTATCAAATTTCCCCGAGGTTTAGTAAAATGCTTATGTTAGCAGTTTCCCGATTAACTTCCACGTCTTGTCAGGCTCTCACAAGCCCACTGATTCAAAAGCGAACATATAAATGTGCAGCGAACATGAACGCTGTTCACTTAGAACACCTAACTCACAGTGGTTGTCACCTGAACTTGAAAACATAATCTTTTATTTTTTCAAGGCCAAACACTAGTTATGACTTTCTCCGGGAACAGGAAATTTACCCACTCCGATTCCAGCAGAAAAACTTCCAATCAATCTGTGATCGGATATTATCCGTGAAGCATGTTGGGATTCATTTCTCCAATCGAAAACGCTGAATGTTCTGCTCGCATAGGATAACTGCCATAAAATTTCTATATTTGACAAAACTTTACTTTCCAGACCATCGCTTTAGCACTCTCAGAAGATGGACGTTCGCACACTCGTTGTCAAAGTTGCACGACGCTTCGTTCTACGTTCTCTGTAGTGCGTTCAGTTAAACAAATGCACACTTCTCTATGGCAATCTCAGTTGGATGGTTCGCCGAGGTTTAGTAAAGTATCGACATACCAATTCCCCACACAAATGCAGCGCCTTACAAAGCCCATACAAGAAAATTAAATATTTTCGCGTAAATGATTGGAGCTTGCGGAAAGCACTCGCATTCAACCCGATAAGCAATTTTGTCACTCAAGTCAACCAAAACGAATGTGCATCTGAGAGCCTATACCTTAAGTGCCAACTGAAAACGACTGAATTAAATGAAATGTTCGACTTTTTCCTCCTTCGTGAAAAAAAACCATTGGACATTTAAAACGAATCGGCTGCTGCAATTTATCAGGTAAAGTAAGTTTTCGATCAGAACGCCCGAAACAACTGTTCTGAGGTTCACTTCCTCGCAGCCGCAATTCACGATGATTTTATGGGACGTTGACTGTCAATAGACCTTGAGTACTACCTTCACGCATAAAGGTTGCACGTTGCATGACTTTGTTATACATATAGAGTTATTCTCTCTTTTCCAAAAATCTTATTCTATCCAAACTTCCATCGATAGCCCTATATGACCTATGGTCTATTTATACTGTTGTTGCGTGTTTTGCTGTTTGCTTAGCCGCTTCGCTCTGTTTATGAATATATATATATATATATATATATATATATGCAGTGATGGATGACAGGCTCCTCGCAAATTGTTAATGTGCTATTTGTAAGTTCTCCGACAGTCCTTTTTTTCCGAATAGAACTTTAGCACCCAAAATTAGGGCTTCGCGGTTCGTCTGTTTTTAGACCCTCGAAAGGATAATCACGATGCGTAATAGTACTTTTAGACGTCAACTGGTTTTTCTGATAAACCAGAAATGTGTAGATATTACAAGGTTATTACGCAGAATTTTCATTGTACTTCCACCCCTGATTATACAAACACATTTATCTCTACGACGTCTAACTTAAAGTCCTACCTGCAGTACTAGTCGCTTTGTGACTACCTGAGGGGTCCTACATAGGGCCCCAAGGAACAACGGAACGAGCGGGTTTCATAACCCGATCGGTGAATAGATGTTTGCCAAATGCTGTGTTTATTCCCGGTTTACGTGTTTTCCACCTCCTTTTGTAGAAGAAGAAGCATAAGAAGAAGAAGGAGGAGAGCGGAGAAGATGGCGAGAAGAAGGAGGGTGGCGGTGGCGGAAAACGCGCCCAGCGAGCAACGTCCAACGTCTTCGGCATGTTCCCTCAGACACAGATTCAGGAGTTCAAAGAGGTGGGTTGCTCCCCCGCCGTTTAACCAGCTGCATCTTTGCACCTATAGGCCTTTACTCTGATCGATCAGAACCGCGATGGATTCATCGACATCGAGGATCTGAAAGACATGTATGCCTCCCTCGGTAAGCTTCTGCTTCTACTTCTCATCACTTTTTAAGGCCGAACACCTTCGGACAAGGAGTTGAAGGAGATGCTTGACGAATCGCCTGGTCCTCTCAACTTTACCATGTTCATCAACCTCTTCGGTGAGAAGCTCAACGGTAAGTGGCACCGGCCCCGTTGTCTTGCAGGGCAGGGTTTGTAAGATGTCCACAAGGAATACTCTCTGATTAATCAATGTAGATCATAAGTAGTATGGTTGAATTTTGCCCAGTTTGATAAATACCAAGTCTGAATAACTGTTCCGGTCCGCTAAGCTTTCGCAAAATCGTCAGATAGACTTCGCACCTTTAATTCGATGAAAAGCAATCGTTTTGAATTTGACCTCCGGGAATACAGATGTCTTTAAACTCCTTCCATTTTCCGTTCCAGGCACAGATCCCGAGAGCGCTCTCATGAACGCTTTTGCCATGTTCGATCCCGACAAGAAGAATTTCATCTCCGAGGAATAGTAAGACTGTGATTATTCATTAACTCACTACTTTTAGCCTTAAAGACCTCCTTGAAAACATGGGTGATAACTTTTCAGCGGAAGAGGTGAGTTTGCACAGTCTTCGGGTGGTTAAATTTATGAAACATTTGCGGGAATCCCAAAATGTGTCGTTGCTTAGAAAAATTCATCTAGGCGGAGCTACAATACTGAATATTCTGTAAACTAATCTCAAAGTATTTCAATCACGCCATGATGCCGGCTTCCAAATGCGTGTCTTATCGGTCGTCTGAAAAAATCGTATTCGCAGCAAAATAGCTACTTAAGTAGTACGCATCGGCTCCATCGCTTAGCTGTGCTCTTACGGATCTAAATGTGTTTTATATAAATCATGCATAAACACATTTTTTATCTTTAAAAAGTTGTTAAATTCCTAAACCGTCCTTGGACTCGCGTTTAGACTTTCCAAACTACTAGTTGTGCACTTTCCCTCTAAGGAAATATACCATTTAGCGCTTATTTAATTCTGCGGTCTTAAAAACCTCGTGATTGCAAACTTTTTAGTCGAAGTTTACCCTTTTTGAAAAGTAAACAGTTTAGTAAAGACGTTATTTACTATAACACTAGCAGAAGAAAGGATATGTTTATGCGGGCTTTAGATAAAACAAAATTGAATTTAAAAGAGCATCTACAATCGATTGAATAATGCCATATTATATAAGTAGCTTTTATTTGGCTAGGAAAATTCTCGCAATCGACCTGAAAGGCACGCATTCGAAAGCCGGCAACCTGGCGGCCGAAACATCTTGATAAACAATATCACGATCCTACCTAAGTATGGCTGTCTAAGCGAAATAAATTTTCAAGATTTTAATTATTCTTTTTTGAGTGATTCACGTACTGTAGAGTATTAGTTCGCGCTGCATAAACGCATCATTTTGTTATACTCCAGATCCGCCAAACATGGAAGGAGGCGCCCATTCAGGCCGGCAAGGTGGACTACGAGAAATTTGTCCACCTTATCAAGAGAGGCAACGAGGAGTTATAGGCCGTGTTTTATGTATGCTGTGAAAGCAACAAGGCAGGCTGTATCCTAAATTCTCGCTTTCTGTCTTTATCTCCTGCCCCCTCCCCCCTCCTTCCCACTTTTAAACCTTCATCCACCAACTGTCTCCTTCCCCCCCCCCCGGCATCTACTTTATCACTTTTGTCAGCATGAAGCACCGCCTAGCAACCGCAAACCCCCCTCCCCCACCCCTCCGTCCTCTCCCACTCAGTCGGTTACGGAAGGGTAGAATAGTTTTAACAGCGGGTCAGGCCTCCTTACTTGTGAATTACCCATATTACGTCTATCGGGGCCCCCGTCGTCGTCTGGATGCGGAACTGCAGTAGGGCGACAATGACACCGGGTACGACAGATCGCTATAATCAGCCTTTTTCGCATGCCAAAGCGTCTGTAAGATGACTGTCATTCCGTTTATTCACGCCCATGTGAGTCTGCGCGCTACCGTCTGAGCACTGCTCATTTTGACGAACGCTACTCACGCCTGCGGCACCTACCCGCCTGTGGATGGAAACACCCGAAATTCGTCACTAGGCTCGTCAGGGCTTCGCTGTGTCGAGCTGCTCTCGAGCTGGGACATTTTCGTCACACTTTTCACAGGCGGGCGTGTGCCCCTTTCAAGGTCACGTCACGACGCTCGTGACAGTGACGTTGATTTTGCTGTTGACTGTGAAAATCGCCGATGCAGAATAGCAGGACGTCAACCCAGCAGACATTTCGCCCGGCGGTCTTTTCCGTCCTCGACCCCGTTCCCCCTCCCAGACCCTGTTATAACTGCTCCTTGACAATGTGGATATTCCAAGTAGTACTTACGTCTGTTGGGTGTCTGGCCTCGTGGTTGAATTTATTCCAATCTGCTGTAACCTCCTTTCTGTGGGTGTGTCATTTAAAATATCTGAAAAATGCCAGTTAACTTGCGACTTCCTTCTCAAGATATGCCAGCCTTGGCGTGGCCATTAAATGTCAGCCGAGATTCTGAGACGCATTTTCGATCTGGAAATATTACTCAAGTAGGGTTGTAAGAGTGATTATCTTGTGGTATAACCCCCGGATATTTCAGACATGTCAGGATATTGGCTTTTGAATGCACTCCTTTTTGGTTGCCTGCTAAAACGACACTCTGTAAAAAATAACTGCTTAAGTAGTACGCACTTCCTTTATTGACTTTCGATTTCCCTGGAAATTTAAATACATTCCATAGGAAACCTCAATGGAACTATTTGGCAGCAAATCAAGTCTTCTTCGAATTTCATGCCTAAGGGGAGGGCATTTTTGGGGTTTAAGAAAGGTTTTCAATACCTAAATAATTTTGAAACCGATCTGTCGCTTCATTTTCGATTTGTGTTTTCAGTCAACAAGCTGTATACTTTCCGTGTAGTGACAAACATACATTCTTTCCTGCCATTAACAACACAATGTAAGGACTCATAAAATGATGCGATAAATTAAGACTATCTTGTATATTTATTGAGGCGCCTTATTAAACAGACAGATACGAAGTTATTCGAATGGGTGTTGCATGGCCTTAAAAAGATCTCACAATTAGAAACTTCTTTAAAACCGAAAGATACTCTTTCTTTAAGTGTGAACTTCGAAGAAGATTTTATTTGCGACCAAATGAGCACAATAAATAATATTTTATGCAGGTTTCCTGTGGATTGTATTAAAGTTTATAAATGCCTCAGAAATCAATAAAGAAAATTCAGGCTTTATAAGTATTCGTTTTTACAGAGTGTCGTGTTTACGGGCAGCCGAAAAGAAGTGTAATCAAAAACCGACATTCTGGCGTACCCCGCATACTCAACTGTGCGAGATCGTGCACAGACACGCGAAGTTTTCCGATCACAACCTAACCGAACCTGTATCAGTCCAAGTTGGGAGGCATTTCATTGCCCTGCTCGATGAACAACTGAGCCCGGTTAAAACAAATAGCTTTTTCCGGGGGGGGACTTGGGGTACACCCGCATGATTGGGGCTAGAAGATCAGAAATGGGCATTCCAATCTCCCTGGTTTTTTTCAGAGCAATACTTCTGCCGCACAAACACAAGTCTTGCGAATTCCCAAGTGGACAGCTTGCGGTGAGCGTTGAACTTCATAGAGACAATCTGGGCAGAGTAATAGGGAATAACGGATTAACAAATGTAAGATTAGCTTTACACTTTGATACGTGAATCTAATTCCTCCCTTGGCAAAAACATACTTTTCGCTGTTCGCGAATTAACAGGCGATGGTGTTGCAGCATGCTTCAAAAGGCATTGAGACTGTTTCTGCTAACGCAATTTGGGAATCAGTATTTGTCAGCTCTCAGAACATGCTTTCAGTCTTTTAAACGCCAAAGGAGCTGCTAAGGGCAGTAGAATGACTGAGTTGTGAAATCGAGAAGATGTGAAAGGTAGCGGATTTATCTATCCCCCGTTAAATACAGAAGATCTTTTTTCACGTTATCGGCCTGATTACTACTCAAGTAATCTTTTAACCACATTCGTCGGTAGCCATGCTGTAGAATCCAATCGCCTCGTCCAGGGGCATTTTTAAACGAGGTTTCCTTTATGGCGTCTGGCGCCTGAAACATTTTGCAAAAATCCCCGAATGTCGGTAGGACGAATGTCTCATTGCCAAGCGTACATGACTTTTCAGAATCATTCGGTTCCCCTGAGGATCTACGGTTCACTTGTAGACCCTCAAGAGGTAAGACGGTGGTACAGAAATCCCTTCGTTGGGAATCTCGCACTAAATTCCAGAAATGGCACCTACTTCCGTGTTCTAGCTCCAACTTCCCTGAAATTTAGCGCACGGCCGCTCGAACTACGGGACGTTTCTATTCTCCCGTCCTGTCGTCGAGACTACGAAGAGGAATTGATAGGTGTCTTAAGGAAGTCCATAACCCCGGTTAGCCGGGAATTATGCGTGACAGGAATTGGGGATCGAAGTTCCCGCCCCCCCCACACACGCACACACACACACACGATAGTTTGACCGTCGCATCCGACGATGTTCACTGCAGATGCCCCACAGCAGATGGTGGGAGAAGGGACGGTGACTTGCGCAGGCGTTTATAGTGTCAGTGGACTTGCGCTGCGTCTACCACACTCTCTCCTCCTCCCCCGCCTGAGCCCGGTGTCAAAACAGAGTTTAGAAGAAGCAATACTTCTGCCGTATAAACGCTAGTCTCGCAAAGCCTAAGGCGACAACTCATCGGTAAGCGGTGAACTTCACACAGACAGTCTGGACTGAGTACTAGGGGACAACAGACTAGAAAAAGTAAGATTGGTTTCATATTAGGGCGCGTAAAATTCAATTTGTATCCAGGCAAATTGCTTATTTTTCAGTGTTATTACATTGAGAAGCAATGACACTGCAGCATGGTGGAGTGAATGAAAAAATTGTTTCTCTAATGGGCCTCGAAAGGCATTGAATCCGCTTCTGCTAACACAATGTGGGTGTCAGTATTTATCCGTTCTCGGAAAGTGCTTTCAGTCTCTCAAATGCCAAAGGAGCTCGCATTGATACTGTGGGTGGTGTGATGATTCAGTTTTGAAATCGGGGAGATGCGAAAGGTCGCGGATTTATTTAATCTTCAGTAAAGACTGCGTATCTGTTTACCCACTACAGACTAGCTTACTACTCAAGTGATCGTGTGCACTCAGCTAACGGTAAACACGCTGTACGGCCGAGTGTATTCCCCGGGAGGCATTCTTACAGGAGACCTCCTTCGTAGCATTCGGTGTCTGAAGCATTATTCGGAATTCCAGGGTTACAAGATACCGTACTAGCAGCACAGGTAATAGCTAGTATAGTAAAATGCTAGTATCGCATCTTGTAACCCTAAAATATACTATTAGCTGCCTTCCGACAGTTAGTGAGTATTTCGCGGTTATCAGACTGTGAGTGATAAACTTAGGTCCAAATATTCATACATCAAATTTCGATCTGAATCAACAGGACTTAGTGTAAACCGATCTATTCCAAGTTTGCAGTTTATTTCTGAGAAAATTAAGAGATAAAATCATTTAAAATACCGGAAAGTAGACAGAGGAAAAGCCTGACTGTCAAACGTCCGTCACTTTTCTAAAAGATTCAGGTCCACGGAGAATTATCAAATCCCTTTTAGACGTTCAAAGGTAATACGGAAGCAAAGAAACCTCCTTCTGGCTGGCCTTGCACTAAATTCCACCTATTCCCGTGTCCTAACTCCAAACTTAACTACGGTGGTTTTTATTCCCCCTTCATGTCGTTCAAAGACGTCCGTCGAGACTACTAGCAGGACTAGAGGGGTGCCTTAAGGGAATCTATAACCTCAGTTAGCTGGGAATTATGTGTGGCAAGAATTGGGGATCGAAATTCCCCCTCCGCACGGAAGGGTCGAAAATGTTATAAAAGCGTTTGGGACTGGGCGGGGTTTTATTGTTCTACGAAATAACGTAGGGTTTCGGTGCTAATTCCTATTTTTTTCTCCATCCGTTACAGCGGTCAATCGATGAAATTAATCTGAACAGTCAAAAACATTTTGCTGTGAGAAGCGAAGGTTACGGACACGACACCTCCACTTGTCACCACTCATGACATGTGGAATGAATGAGGCCCACCAACTCTAAATAGAAGGCCAATCAAGAATAAAAGAAGATCGAAACAGCTGCCGTTGTCACTGATGATGGATTTAAGTGAGAATTCGAAACGTCAGGCGAATAAAGCCCTTGTTACAGCGATCGCTTTTTATTCTGGTCAACTACTTCCTGGAACTCGCATCTTCACCTGTATCGGCAAAACTGCAACTTCCTGTGCACGAACCACCCGTTTCTGTCACTGTCTCTGATGAGGGGTTCAAATGAGAATCTGAAACCTCAGACGAATAAAGCCCTTGTCCCACTGATCGCTTCTATTTCTTATCAGAGTTACTGGTGGTGTCGGGGAAGGAAATTCCGTTCCTTGCGGCCACAAAAGTCCCATGTGTTCACGTTCAAGCAGACATTAGTCCACACAGAAATGGACATGCACTGGTTTGCTTGTCATTAAGAAGCGAAGTAATTTGGCTTCATGGGAGAGGCCGTAGACAGACCACCGGTACTCAGCTCAAGTGACCAATCAATCGGCTTCGCTGACTTGCGGAGCAAATACTCCTCCGCGGAAGCCACGACTGCCGGGGTTACAAAAAAACAACACGAATGAACTGGCTAACAAACAGCTGTTTTTGTGTTCCGAGCTCTAGGCCATGAAAGCACACTCTACCTATAAAGATCGGTTAAATACCAGGTCACATGCAGATTTTAGTAACCGATTTGATAAGTTCGTAGTTTCTTAAGTACTTGATGATCGGCGAAATACTTTAATTTATCAGAATTATTTCTAGGGCGGACCTGACTTTTATGGCGTCTGTATTCTACCCCAAG